GGGTAAAGTAGAGCAGAAATTCAAGTTCTATAACAATCCCATTCCTGCCCTACATAGAAGTTATCACATGGAGCAGCAGAATCTAGCTGTACTTGAGGGCTCTGATTCACTTACATCAATCTGTGTTACCCAAACATGCAAATGTTACACATTAAGGGCCCTCTAGCTTAGTCCATGTTCTTAATATTTCATACTTTAGCTGCTCTAGGTTTTCTACCGCCCAAATGTAACCTGGGAAGATGAATTACTCATCTAATTTCCCTGATTGTCTCTCTTTCTCACCCCTGTGTGTGTTCCCAGGTCCACTGGGGCCAGTGATGGCCCTCATCCGTGTCTGCACTATGTGTGTTGGGTACAAGGGGCTCTTCTCCCTGCCTCTCTGCAAGAACTGCAGCAGAGCTTCTGGAGGGCAGAGACCTGTCTTCCTCCTTATCGTGTCCTCTATAAACCTCTGTATTTGGTGCATAGTGGGAGGTCAGCAAACATCTGTTGATTTCATTCAGCATGAACCATGGAAAAGGGGGAAGGACTTTCTGTGTGTTCTCACTGGGTTGATGAGAAGCTGTGTCTACGGGCAAGAGCAGATTTTGAATTCACAAGTTTATGACAGGTCTCAGAGAGACTAGACTCTGGCCTGCAAGGCACTCTTCTTCTCTGTACCTCATTTATATCACATACGAAAACAAATTCTTTGGTGGTCGATAATTATAACAATACCATAATGGCAGCAATTATTTATTGTTTAGTGTCAAGTAGTATTCTCAGTGCTCTGTATATTTTTATTCTAATTCTTACAACATCCTAGCAAGAGGAATGAGTATTCCTGTTTAATCATTGACATAAGATCAGAGAGGTTAACTGGCCTAGGTCCCTGGGCTAGCGCTATGGTTTGGATATGGTTTGTCTGGACACATCAAGTCTCAAGTTAAAATTTGATCCCCAGTGTTGGAGGTGGGGCTTAATGGGAGGTGTTTGGATCATGCAGGCAGATCCCTCATGAATGGCTTGGTGCAATCCTCACTGTAATCAGTGAGTTCTAGCTCTATTAGTTCCCTGAAGAACTGGTTGTTAGCAAATGTGGCACTTCCCTTCTCTTTCTTTCTTGCTATGTGGTCTGTACATGCTGGCTCCCCTTTACCATCTGCCATGAGTGGAAGCAGCCTGAAGCCTTCACCAGAAGTAGAACTTGGTGCGATGCTTCTTGTACAGCCTGCAGAACCATGAGCCAAATAAACCTCTTTTCTTTATAAATTCCTCAGCCTCGGGTATTCCTTTATAGCAACACAAACAGACCAAGACAACCAGAAAGTGATGGAAATAAAATGTATAAATGCTGCTTAAAATATTTAAAGGTATTTTTATTAAGCTTTGTACATTAATTTCACACATTAATCAAAACTTCCTTAAAAGTTATTGTTTAGCTTAAGATGGACTAAAGGAGAAAAAAAAGAAAAAAAAGTTGTTAAAATTCGTCAGTTTTGAGAACAAACTAATAAGATTTATAAGAGAACTAAAAACTCAAGAAAGACCTGGAGTTTTCAATTTTAACAAAGCTCCTGAATAATTTTTCCTACTTATAAAAAAGCCACCCAAAAGGCATAAAAAATCACATTGATATGATGTATGCCCAAATTAAAAAGAACGCTATATGATGTTTTCTAAATAATATGTATGATGTATTTTTAACAATGTATTCTCAAAGATAGTTGTGTCTTTGTATCTGTGGGTTTCACATACATGGATTCAATCAACCTCAGGTCAAAAAACATTTTTTAAAAAACTTGCAGGCTGGGGCCAGGTGCAGTGGCTCATGCCTGAAATCCCAGCACTTTGGGAGGCTGAGGCAGGTGGATCACGAGATCAGGAGTTCAAGACCAGCCTGGCCAAAATGGTTAAACCCTGTCTCTACTAAAGATATAAAAATTAGCCAGGCATGATGGTGGGCACCTGTAACCCCAGCTACTCAGGAATCTGAGGCAGAGAATTGCTTGAATCTGAAAGGCGGAGATTGCAGTGAGCTGAGATCATGCCACTGCACTCCAGCCTTGGTAACAGAGCGAGACTCTGTCTCAAACAACAACAACAACAACAACAAAAACAAAAAGAAAACTTGCAGGCTGAGTGCAGTGGCTCATGCCTGTAATCCCAGTACTTTGGGAGGCTGAGGCAGGCAGATCACCTGAAGTCAGGAGTTGAAGACCAGCCTTGCCAACACGGTGAAACCCCATCCCTGCAAAATACAAAAATTAGCCAGGTGTGGTGACATTTGCCTATAAACCCAGCTACTTGGGAGGCTGAGGTGGGAGAATCGCTGGAATCTGGGAGGTGGAGGTTGCAGTGAGCTGAGATCGTGCCACTGCACTGCAGCTGGGGTGACAGAGTGAGACTCTGTCTCAAAAACAAAAAAGCTTGCATCTACACTGAACATGAAAAAGCTTCTCTTGTTGCTTTGCTGAAACAATATAGTGTAACATCTATTTACATAGCATTTACATTGCATTAGGTATAAGGAATCTATAGATGACTTAAAGTGTGTAGGAGGATGTGCATAGGTTATACGCAGACACTACACCATTTTATGTAAGGGGACTTGAGCACTGACAGATTTTGGTATCCATGGGAGTTTTGAAATCTCCCATGAATACCAACAGACAACGGTAAACATATATTACATATTACATATGATAATAACTATATATTATCAATATTTATATGTGTGTTTATATATGTGTGTTTCTTTTTCCTTACACAGGAGAAGCAACTGTAGGCAAATAGTGGGTGATAAGGGTAGGATAGTCTTGTCTGAAGCTGTTTTCTTCAGCTCTGATATTCAGTAACGCATGTAGAGAACAAAGGGATTTTGCTCTGTGAAGTCTAATTGTCTGCTGAATAAATAAATAAATAGATGAAGCACTGCACACATTAAATGAAAGTAAATATTGACCCTAACACCATATGTTTGCTGCGGTGCTAGATGAAGTATGCTGGCAGGTCCAACCAGTCAGAGTCTGCCAGCCAGCAAGCAGGAGAGACAGGAATATCAAAAAAGCTCTCCTGCTTGTGCCTTAATCCCCATCCAATCCCCAATTCCTCCACCAAAGGCAGCTCACAAAATTAAGAAATCCCAAGAAGGAAAAATAAAGTGGGTATTGATTGTCTCGGCTCAAATGATCCTATAGGAATCTTTGTTAAGTCAGACAGAAGAGGATAAACATATCTTTTTTTATGTTTACCTTTAACTAAGAAGGGAGAAATTACTCTATTGGGTCAGATCTATGAGTGTGTGGGCAACTCCAGCATGCCCTAGCAGAGGAACAGACCTCATCCTCAACTTGTTACTTCCCGGGAAGTCCTGTCACACCCCTCAGCCTCAGTTTACTCAGCCTCACAATGAGTATAATAATACTGGTCCTCCCTTTGTCACCAATTTAAAAGCTCGGGTGAGGTTAATTATATAACAAGGCCTGGACCAAAGGGCTGCGGATATTTAAAAAATTAACTGCAATGACTTCTGAGTAACAAGAGTTCACTCTGAAGTGAGTTTTGCTTGTCTCGTCTTTGCTTTCTGTTTCTTTTCTTGTTTATCAAGCTGAGAGTGGCTAACAGAGGGGCAAGGACAAGATAGTCAGCTGCTATGGTGAGGTCTGCAAGGGGAAATTCCTTCTCCCCTCCTAGGTCAAGTACCCACTGCAGCATGCAAAACGCTTTCTAAATACCTTACCCTGGAATCCTTTACTTAAAAAAATCTTTTTAAAGATTAATATAAGAAGAATTGAGGAAGACCTGTATAATCATTATAGCAGTTTGTAACGCTGGAGTTTTCACTTGGTTATTATTATTATATTGTTCCTATTACTTTTACCTATTATGCAATAGTTGCAGTAGTCTCAACTTTCTTCAGTAGTTGTTTATTTCTGCATTTGCTTTGGAAAAACAGTTTTAAAATACAGCTTGAAAACATAATTTTTAGTTACTAATATCTATGGATGTAAAAGTAATACAGATCCATAAAAGACTTATATGGGAAGCAAAGAAAGGCAGACACAGGATTTTAAAGGGATCACCTATGATACTACCATATGCATTATATTAAATGATAATTTAGATGAAATTAACATGATATAAAATTAACCATTTTAAAGTAGACAATTCAGTGGTATTTTGTACATTCACAATGTCCTGCAACCACTAATCTATATTTTGTTCTAAAGTATTTCCATTATTCCAAGGTATTTGTATCCATTAAACATTTTCTCTCCCTCTCCTCTTCCCACAACTTTTGGAAATCACCAATATGTATTCAGTCTCTATGGATTTGTCTGTTCTGGATATTTCATATAAATGGAATAATACAATGTTTGATCGTTTGTGTTTGGCTTCTTTCATGTAGCCTATTATTTTGGTGGTTCATTCATGCTGTAGCATGTATCAATGCTTCATTTTTTTATGGCTGAATAATATCCCTTTGTATGTATATTTACAAATTAAGGAATATTAAAATAAAGGAATATTATTTCATCATAAAAAGAGTTAGTTTTATCCATTAGTTTATCCAATTAGCTTAACCATTCATTCATTAGTAGGTATTAGGGCTATTTCTATCTTTTGGCAATTGGGGTAAGTGTTGCTGTAAATATGAGTGTACATGTATTTGTTTGAGTGCCTGCTTTCAATTTTGGGAGGTATATACCTAGGAGTGAAATTTCAGGCTCATATGATAATTTTATGTTTAAATTTTTGAGGATCTATCAACTGTTTTCCATAGCAGCTGAACAATTTTAGATTTCCATTAGCAATGTAGGTTGGTTCCAAGTTAATTGACTCTTTTAATCAATATATGATGTCCTTCTTTGTCTCTTAGACAGATTTTGACTTACTGCCTATTTTGTCTGATATTAGTATAGTTATCTTTGTTCTCTTTTGTTTACTATTCGCATGAAAAAAAAATTCCCCTTCTCTTCTCTTTAACTTATTTCTGTTGTTGAATCAGAAGTGAGTCTCTTCTAGGCAGCATACAATTGGATCATGTTTTTAATCTATTCTATCAATCTCTGTCTTTTAAGGGGAGAGTTTAATTCATTTACATTTAAGTAATTACTGTAGTGAAGAACTTAACTTCTGCAGTGTTGCTGTTTGTTTTCTGTGTGTCTTATACCAATTTTGTCCCTAATATCCTCCCATTACTGCCTGATTTTGTGTTTCGTGGATTTTCTATGCTGTTCTATTTTTATTGCCTTCTCATTTCTGTTTGTATATATATTTCAGACATTTCTCAGTGGTTATCGCAGGGATTACAGTTAACATCCTAAATGTATAATAATCTAGCTTGAACTCATCACAACTTAGTAGCATACAGAAGCTTTGCTCCTATATAGCTCCTTTACCCCATTTATGTTGTTGTCACAAATAATATCTTTATACAGTGTATACTCAATAACAGTTTTAGAATTCTTTTAAATGAATTTGTCTTTTAAATGATATAGGAAATTTAAAAAGTGGAATTACAAAGCAAAAATATAATACTGGCTTTTGTATTTAACCATGTAGTTATCTTTACTGGAGATCTTTTTTTCTCCATTCAGCTTTAAGCTACTGTCTAGTGTCCTTTCATTTCAAACTCAAGGACTCCCTTTAGCATTTCTTGTAGGGCAGGTCTTCTAACAACAAACTTAATCAGCCTTGGTTTATCTAGTAATGTCTTGAATTTTCTTTCATTTATGGAAGATAGTTTTGCCAAATACAGAATTCTTGGTTGACAGTTTTTTTTCTTTCAGTGCCTTAAACATGTCATCCCCCTGCCTTCTGTCCTCCATGATTTTTGATGAGAAATCATCTGTTAATCTTATTTTCACTTCCACAATCACTTGCTTGTGATGAGTCACTTCTTTATTGATGCTTTCAAGATTCTCCTTTGTCTAAATTTATATTTTTTATTAAATTTGGAATGTTTTTAGCTATTAGTTTTCAAATACACTTTCTGCCCTGTCTCTTTCTGAGATTTCTATATTTGTCGTCTTGATGTGGACCATCAAGTGTATATTGGTCCACTTTATGGTGTCTCACAGGTTCCTTAGACTCTGTTCACTTTTCTTCATTTCTTTTTCTTTATGCCCCTCAGACTATACTGTTTCAATTATCTTCTCCTCAAGTTTGCTGATTCTTCCTTCTGCCTGCTCAAATATGCTACTGAACTCCTTAGTAAATTCATCATTCAGTTATATTTTTCATCTCTGGAATTTTTATTTGGTTTCCTTTTAAAAAATCTTTTTATTGATATTCTTATTTTGTTCATACATATTTTCTCTTGTTTCTTTTCGTTCTTTGTCCATAGTTTCTGTTAGCATTTTGAACATATTTAAGAGACTTGATTAAAATTTTTTGTCTAGTAAGCCCAATGTCTGGGTTTCCTCAAGGACAGTTTCTCTCAATTATTATTATTTTTTTCTTTGAATGGGCTATACTTTTCTGTTTCTTTATATACGTTATGACTTTTTATTAAAAACTTGACATTTTATTTATTTTTTTATTGTACTTTAGGTTCTGGGGTACATGTACAGATCATGTAGGATTGTTGCATAGGTACACACATGGCAAGGTGGTTTGCAGCCTTCATCCCCCCCATCACCTATATCTGGTATTTCTCCCCACGTTACCCCTCCCCACCTTCCCCACCCCTTGCTGTCCCTCTCTAGCCCCCCCAACAACTGACTGCAGTGTGTAATGCTCCCCTCCCTGTGTCCACGTGTTCTGATTGTTCAACACCCACCTACGAGTGAGAACATGTGGTGTTTGGTTTTCTGTTCTTGTGTCAGTTTGCTAAGAATGATGGTTTCCAGATTCATCCATGTCCTTATGAAGGACACAAACACATCGTTTTTTATGGCTGTGTAGTATTCCATGGTGTATATGTGCCACATTTTCTTTATCCAGCCTATCGTTGATAGACATTTGGGTTGGTTCTAGGTCTTTGCTATCGTAAACAGTGCTGCAGTGAACATAAATGTGCCTGTGTCTTTATAACAGAACAACTTATAATTCTTTGGATATATATCCACTAATGGGATTGCTGGGTCAAATGGTATTTCTATTTCTAGGTCCTTGAGGAATTGCCACACTCCCTTCCACAATGGTTGCACTAATTTGCACTTCCACCAACAGTGTAAAAGTGTTCCTGTTTCTCCACAACCTCTCTAGCATCTGTTGTCTCCTGATTTTTTTTAATGATTGCCGTTGTAACTGGCGTAAGGTGGTATCTCAACGTGGTTTTGATTTGCATTTCTCTAATGACCAGTGATGATGAGCATTTTTTCATATGTTTGTTGGCCTCATAGATGTCTTCTTTTGTAAACTGTCTCTTCACATCCTTTGCCCACTTTTGAATGGGTTTGTTTGTTTTTTTTTTCTTGTAAATCTGTTGTAGTTCTTTGTAGATTCTGGTTATTAGCCCTTTGTCAGATGGGTAGATTGCAAAAATGTTTTCCCATTCTATTGGTTGCCGGTTCACTCTAATGATTGTTTCCTTTACTGTACAGAAGCTCTGGAGTTTAATTAGATCCCATTTGTCTATTTTGGCTTTTGTTGCCATTGCTTTTGGTGTTTTAGCCATGAAGTCCTTGCCTATGCCTCTGTCCTGAATGGTTTTGCCTAGGTTTTCTTCTAGGGTTTTTGTGGTGTTAGGTCTTATGTTTAGATCTTTAATCCATCTGGAGTTAATTTTAGTGTAAGGTGTCAGGACGGGGTCCAGTTTCTGCTTTCTGCACATGGCTAGCCAGTTTTCCCAACACCATTTATTAAACAGGGAATCCTTTCCCCATTGCTTGTTTTTGTCAGGTTTGAAGAAGATCAGATGATTGTAGATGTGTGGTGTTGCTTTTGAGGCCTCTGTTCTGTTCCATTGGTCTATGTCTCTGTTTTGGTACCAGTACCATGCTGTTTGATTACTGTGGCCTTGTAGTATAGTTTGAAGTCAGGCAGCATGATGTCTCCAGCTTTGTTCTTTTTGCTTAGCATTGTTTTGGGTATGTGGGCTCTCTTTTGGTTCCAAATGAAGCTTGAAGTGGTTTTTCCCAGTTCTGTGAAGAAGGTCATTGGAAGATTGATGGGGATAGCACTAAATCTGTAAATTACTTTGGGCAGTATGGCCATTTTCACGATGTTGATTCTTCCCAACCATGAGCATGGAATGTTTTCCCATCTGTTTGTGTCCTCTCTGATTTCATTGATCAGTGATTTGTAGTTCTCCTTGAAGAGGTCCTTTATATCCTTTGTTAGCTGTATTCTTGGGTATTTTATTCTCTTTGTAGCAATTGTGAATGGAAATTCACTTTTGATTTGGCTCTCTGTTTGTCTGTTATTGATGTACAGAAATGTTTGTGATTTCTGCACATTGATTTTGTATTCTGAGACTTTGCTGAAGTTGCTTATCAGTTTAAGGAGATTTTGGGCTGAGACAATGGGGTCTTCTAAATATACAGTCATGTCATCTGCAAATAGAGACAATTTGGCTTCCTCTTTTCCTGACTGAGTACCCTTTATTTCTTTTTCTTGGCTGATTGCTCTGGCTTGAACTTCCAATACTATATTGAATAGGAGTGGTGAGAGAGGGCATCATTGTCTAGTGCCAGATTTCAAGGGGAATGCTTCCAGTTTTTGCCCATTCAGTATGATATTGGCTGTGGGTTTGTTGTAAATAGCTTTTATTATTTTATGATACATTCCATCAATACCTAGTTTATTGAGGGTTTTTTAGCATAAAGGGCTTTTGAATTTTGTCAAAGGCCTTCTCTGCATCTATTGAGATAATCATGTGGTTTTTGTCTTTGGGTCTGTTTATGTGATGGATTATGTTGATAGACTTGCATATGTTGAACCAGCCTTGCATCCCCAGAATGAAGTCTACTTGATCATGATGAATAAGCTTTTTGATTTGCTGTTGCATTCTGTTTGCCAGTATTTTATTGAAGATTTTTGCATCGATGTTCAACTTGGATATTGGCCTGAAGTTTTCATTTTTAGTTTTTCTCTGCCCAGTTTTGATGTTAGGATGATGTTGGTATCATAAAATGAGTTGGGAGGATTCTCTCTTTTTGTATTGTTTGGAATAGTTTCAGAACGAATGGTACCAGCTCTTCTTTGTATGTCTGGTAGAATTCGGCTATAAACCTGTCTGGACCTGGACTTTTTTAAATTGGTAGGCTATTAATTGCTACCTCAACTTCAGCCCTTGTCATCGGTCTATTCAGGGTTTCAACTTCTTCCTGGTTTAGTCTTGGGAGAGTGCAAGTGTCCAGGAATTTATGCATTTCTTCCAGATTTACTGGTTTGTGTGCATAGAGTTGTTTATAGTAATCTCTGATAGTAGTTTGTATTTCTGCGAAATCGGTGGTGATGTCCCTTTTGTCATTTTTTATTGCATCTATTTGATTATTCCCTCTTTTCTTTTTTATTAGTCTGGCTAGCAGTTTATCTATTTTGTTGATCTTTTCAAAAAAACCAACTCCTGGATTTGTTGATTTTTTTGAAGGTTTTTTTGTGTCTCTATCTCCTTCAGTTCTGCTCTGATCTTAGTTATTTCTTGTTTTCTGCTAGCTTTTGAGTTTTTTTGATCTTGCTCCTCTGACTCTTTCAATTTGATGATAGGGTGTCAATTTTAGACCTTTCCTTGCTCCTCATGTGGGCATTTATTGCTATAAATTTCCCTCTAGACACTGCTTTAAATGTGTCCCAGAAATTCTGGTATGTTGTGTCTTTGTTCTCATTGGTTTCGAAGAACATCTTTATTTCTTCTTTCATTTCATTGTTTATCCAGTCAACATTCAGGAGCCAGTTGTTCATTTTCCATGAAGCTGTATGGTTTTAGGTTAGTTTCTTAATCTTAAATTCTAATTTGATTGCACTGTGGTCTGAGAGACTGTTTGTTATGATTTCCGTTCTTTTGCATTTGCTGAGGAGTGATTTACTTCCAATCATCTGGTCAATTTTAGAGTATGTGTAATGTGGTGCTGAAAAGAATGTATATTCTGTGGATTTGGGGTTGAGAGTTCTGTAAATGTCTATTAAGTTCGCTTGGTCCAGATCTGTGTTCAAGTCCTGGATTTCCTTGTTGATTTTCTGTCTTGTTGATCTGTCTAATATTGACAGTAGAGTGTTAAAGTCTCCCACTATTATTGTGTGGGAGCCTAAGTCTCTCTGTAGGCTGTTAAGGATTTGCTTTATGTATCTGGGTACTCCTGTATTGGGTACATATATATTTAGAATAGTTAGCTCTTCTTGTTGTATTGATCCTTTTACTATTATGTAATGCCCTTCTTTGTCTCTTTTGATTTTTGTTGGTTTAAAGTCCATTTTGTCAGAGAATAGAATTGCCACCCCTGCTTTTTTTTGCTCTCCATTTGTTTGGTAAATCTTCTCCCATCCCTTTATTTTGAGTCTATGTGTGTCTTTGCATGTGAGATGGGTCTTCTGAGTACAGCACACCGATGGTTTTTGGCTTTTTATCCAGTTTGCCATTCTGTGTCTTTTGATTGGGGCATTTAGTCCATTTACATCTAATGTTAATATTGTTATGTGTGAATTTGATCCTGCCACTTTATTACCAGTTGGCTGTTTTGCCCTTTGGTTGGCCTAATTTCTTCATTGTTTCATTGGTCTTTAGCATTTGGTTCTTTTTTGCAGTGGCTGGTACTAGTTTTTCCTTTATGTGTTTAGTGCTTCCTTCAGGAGCTCTTGTAGAGCAGGTCTGGTAGTGATAAAATCTCTCAGCAATTGCTTGTCCATTAAGGATTTTATTTCTCAATCACTTATGAAGCTTAGTTTGGCTGGATATGAAATTCTGGGTTGAAAGTTCTTTTTTTAAGGATGTTGAATATTGGCCCCCACTCTCTTCGGGCTTTTAGGGTTTCTGTTGAGAGATTCACTGTGAGTCTGATTGCTTCCCTTTGTGGGTGACCTGACCTTTCTCTCTGGCTGCCCTTAGTATTTTTTTCTTCATTTCAACCCTGGTGAATCTGACAATTATGTGCCTTGGGTTGCTATTTTTGAGGAATATCTTTGTGGTGTTCTCTGTATTTCCTGTATTTGAATGTTGGCCTGTCTTGCTAGGTTGGGGAAGTTCTCCTGGATAATATCCTGAAGAATGTTTTCCAGCTTGGATTCATTCTTCCTGTCATCTTCCGATACACTGATCAAGCATAGATTAGGTCTTTTCACATAATCCCATATTTCTTGAATGTTTTGTTCATTTCTTTTCACACTTTGTTCTCTTTTCTTGCCTTCTAGTTTTATTTCATTGAGTTGATCTTCAATCTCTTATATCCTTTCTTTTGCTTGATCTATTCGGCTATTGAAACTTGTGTATGCTTCATGAAGTTCTTGTGCTGTGTTTTTCAGCTCCATCATGTTGTTTGTGTTCTTCTCTAAACTGGTTATTCTAGTTAGCATTTCGTCTAACTTTTTTTTCAAGGTTTTTAGTTTCTTTGCATTGGGTTAGAACATGTTCCTTTAACTCAGAGAAGTTTGTTATTACCCACCTTCTGAAGCCAGCTTGTGTCAATTCATTCTCTGTCCAGCTTTGTCCCCTTGATGGTAAGGAGTTGCGATCTTGTGGTGGGGGAGAGACATTCTGGTTTTTGATGGTTTCATTCTCTTTGCACTGGTTTCTTCCCATCTTGTTGGATTTGTATAGTTTTGTTCTCGGGTAGCTGCTTGGGGAGGTGGCCTTTCCTTTGTCTACCTGCAGAGGCGCTGCTGAGCTGCCATAGATTCAGTGGAGCTACTGCATCTTTTATTTACTCAGGAAAATTAGACAGGCTTCTGCAATGGCAGCTGCCCTTCCCCCCAACCCTCTCCCCACCCACCCACTCGACAAGCTCGATTGTTCATTGTTGCTCGCTAACTGATGTTCTGGGTGCAAAACTCTGGAGTAAGAGTTTTTTAGCCTGCTGGGCTTTCTGTGGCTGGGGAACCCATCCTGCTGTACAGTATGTTTCCCTGCTTTCAGTTCCCCTTCTTTCTGGGGACCAGGTAGTTCCATCCAGCCGGCTTTCTGGCTTTCGTGTCAGCCAGTGCTTCTGCCTAGATCTATGCTGCAGCCTGGGTGCTGGCTGACATTGCTGTTCTGCCCTTTTCAGGCAGCTCACTGAGGCTTTTCAGCCTGGTGAAGGTCTCCTGTTCTGTGGGTTGTAGAGGGCTTGGGTGGAGCACTATATCTGAACCAAAGTCCCAGAGAGAGAGATCCCCTGGTCCTCTGGTCAGTTGCATGCACCTCCTGGGTGGGGCAGTGCCCCACCTTGCCTCAACTTGCCCTATTTGGTTTATACCCACTATCCAACCAGACCCACAAAATGAACCTGGTACCTCATTTGGAATTGTGGAGACCACTTAGCTTTTGCAACTCTTGCTGGGAGCTGCTTTCTGGAGCTGCCTCTTATTCGGCCATCTTGGGATCCCTCCAACATTTTAATATTATAATGTGGTAACCCTGGATATTGGATTCTCCCCTTTCCCCAGGGCTTGCTGTTCTTTATTATGCAAGACTGCAGTCATCTGTTTAATAACTTCCCAAACTTCTTTTTCTGCAAAGACTATATTCTTTGTCATGTGTAATCACTGAAATGTTTGTTCATTTGCTTGTATTCAGCTTGTGATTTGACAAAGGTTTCCTTGATTGCCAGGAACTAAGAACAAAACAAACACAATAAAAAACATCTTTGGATTGGCTCTATGCAGATCTGCGCCTTCAATACTTTGCCAGGCTCTTTACAACTTCACCTTAGCCTTCACTTCCAGAGATTAGCCAAAGTTGAAAGCTTATGGTCTTCTCAGATCTCTTCTAAGCATTTATCCTGTTTTGACAAGCATGTAGCTTTCTAAATTTCCAGGTACACATGAGTGCTGTTGAATGCTCTAATTTCCCAAGGAAAGTTTCCTCAGCTGTTCTTTCCAGATTTTAGACTATATATTGTATGTATCAACCATAACTTTTTGCCTTAGGTGGCTGCAGGTTTTTAATTTGCCTTACAATATTTTCAAGCAATGTCTAATGCTTTTCTGCCCTGAGTATATTCTGAGTTAAGCAAAATAGAGACAGGAGACTCACTTGTCCTTCAGGTAGCCCAGACAAGTTAGCACAGACAAAAATAATAATTTGTGAATGAAATCTCTGTTTTCTCTGGATCCAGAATTGCACACTGGGAACATGGGTTGCTATCTTTAAGATTACTTCCCAGCTTCCCTTCCTGTTTCCCTTCCTTTCTCTCACCCTTTCTCCATTCCATTCCTTCCTTTGTCAAATATTTTCTGAATATCTAGTATATGTTAGGTCCTGTGCTTAGAACCTGGATGCTAAGGATAATTAGTAATGGTCCTAGACTTACTTGCCTACAGATAAGTAGGAAAGATAGGTAAGTAAGGCAAAAATTTCAGCTGAGTGTATCAAGTGACATGATGGTGATGCCCGCAGGGCCATAGGCCTTTTAAAAATAACAACTGGGCAACAAATGAATGAGATCATTAGAGTGACAAAACCAGAGTTTTCTCTTTTTTTTTTTTTTTTTTTGAGACAGTGTCTTACTCTGTTGCCCAGGCGAGAGCAGTGACGCAATCTGAGCTCACTGCAACCTCTGCCTGCTGGGTTCAAGCAGTTCTTGTGCCTCAGCCCCGCCAAGTAGCTGGGATTACAGGGGTGAGCCACCATTACCAGGCCAGAACTAGAGTTTTCTATTAAAATGTCAAATAACATTTCTTCAAAATGTTTGAGGTTTTTCTACATTTGTTTACCCAAGAGAAACATAGATTTTTATAAATTGATCCCTGAGATCACCCATTATATGCAGAGCTCTAAGGGACAGCTGAAATAGTGCTCATGGGATGCAAATATATTATTGGTCATGAAAAGCATAATTAAATATATATTTTTTTGAGACAGAGTCTCACTCTGTCACCCAGGCTGGAGTGCAGAGGTGCGATCTCCTCGGCTTATTGCAACCTCTGCCTCCCGAGTTCAAGCAATTCTTGTGTCTCAGCCCCTGAAGTAGCTGGGATTACAGGTGTGAACCACCATGTCTTGCTAATTTTTGTATTTTTAGTAGAGACAGCGTTTTACTCTGTTGGCCAGGCAGGTCTCAAACTCCTGGCCTCAAGTGATCCACTTGCCTTGGTGTCCCAAAGTGCTAGGATTACAGACACGAGCCACCGTGCCTGGCCCATGATTAAATATTAAATAATGAATATTTAGTAAAAGATCAGATAATGTATTTCAAACCCAAAAACAAATTAATTTTGTGATTTTTTGCTATGTTGAATTAGCCATTAATTATTACTACATGTAATATAGAATTGACTCCTCTTACATGCAGTAAAACAAGTATCTTGTCATGCTTAAGATGTGTAAAGCAGGTTCTGATTTAACTTATACTGAAGTTTCTTCCGCTCATCTTTCTTGCATAAAAAAGATGAAAAATGGCCGGGCACGGTGGCTCAAGCCTGTAATCCCAGCACTGTGGGAGGCCAAGGCGGGTGGATCACGAGGTCAAGAGATCGAGACCATCCTGGTCAACATGGCGAAACCCCGTCTCTGCTAAAACTACAAAAAATTAGCTGGGCATGGTGGCGCGTGCCTGTAATCCCAGCTACTCAGGAGGCTGAGGCAGGAGAATTGCCTGAACCCGGGAGGCGGAGGTTGCGGTGAGCCGAGATCGTGCCATTGCACTCCAGCCTGGGTAACAAGAGCGAAACTCTGTCTCAAAAAAAAAAAAAAAAAAGATGAAAAATGACTGTTTGCCTTCAAAGAATTAAATAAAAATATAGCAACAAATAAAATAGAAGTAAGCCAATGAAAAGAAAAGATTAGTTGAAATTTTAAGTTGATTTGGTAGAATCTGAGTCTATTGGCCCATTAGGTTTTGGTCAAAGTCCACAGATTTGAAAATACATGAGTTTGAAAATTAGTATAATCATTTTATTTCATTTTTGTTGTATGCAACAGTGTGTGGTTTAAGAGGATAAATATTAAATGATTATTTACTTGGAATACTGGATGAGAAAAGCTCATCTAGAATTTAAATTTCTGACACCCATTGCAAGTTATCTCTATAACTCCATTTTTCCTCCATAAAAATAGAGATTTATATTTCAAAACTAGAAGAATAACAATCTTAATAAATTATAAATATCTTGAGATTATAAAATTGTTTCATAACCATAGAGTTAGAGTTATAACCTATAAAGCCTAAGGTCCAATCAAGAATTGACTCTTTAAAATGTACTAAGGAAAAAATATAGTAAGATAAAGCCATTAAATATAAATTTAAGCTTTTTTTGAAATTAAATTTTATTTCAGTATTTTTTCAACATCTTTTAGAATCCAAAATATAATCAAATTAAGTGGATACGAGTAAATGAAAACATAATTTATAAAATAAAATATATAACAAGTACATCCAGATAATGAAAATTTTTCAGTGCTAAAAAGGAATGAACTATCAAGGCATGAAAAAACATAGAGGAAACTTAAATGCATATTACATACTAAGTGGAAGAAGACAGTCTGAAAAGGCTGTATACCATATGATTCTAACTACATGATATTTAGAAAAGCCAGAACTATGGAGACAGTAAAAACATTGCTGGTTACCAGGAGTTAAGGGGAAGAAAGAAACGAATAGATGGATTATAGAGGATTTTTAAGGTGGTGAAACTATGTTGTATGTTGTTATAATAATGAATTCATGTTCGTTATATATTTGTCCAAATCCATGAAATGTACACCCAAGAGTGAACCTTAATGTAAACTATGGACTTTGGTTGATAATGATGTATCCATGTAAGTTTATCAATTGTAACAAATGTACTACTCTGGTGAGGAATATTGATGGGGAGGTTGCGTGTATGCAGGGCCAGGGGCTGCATGGGGAATCTCTGTACCTTCTATTCAATTTTGCTGTGAAGCTAAAACTGCTCTATAAAGTCTATTAAAAATAATGTATCTAAAATAATCATATTAAATATAACAATGAATTTATATTTATAAGTTAAAATATTTTTTAATATATAAAAATAAATTTTAAGTTGATTAAAATAAGGCCATTAAATTTTAATAGAATTTGAAAAGCATAAAATTTTAGTGTATTATATATAACAGTAAGTATTATTATATAACATTACATGAACTATGAGACCTTGCTTTAATTTTTTTGTTTTTAACAGTGACACTACAGAAATTTTGGATTTGTATCCTGTTTGTAGTATGGTAAGCAGCATCCCTTGTCTCTAGTCATTTGATATAAGTAGGAAATTCCTAGTTGTGACAAACCAAAATTTCTCTAGACATTTTCAAATGTACTATGGAGTGGAGGGAGGGGCAAGGAACTGTTGCTTTAATTAAAACAGCAGAAATATCAGAAAATATCAAGTGATTACACTGACAAAACAATTTTAACAATTTACTTCATCATCTCTTACCTAGCTGAAAGGCCCCATTCAAGATAAAATGTGCCATGGGTGATTTTCGGTGGTGCCTTAGGCTATGTGATGGCTGGAAAAATAGCTGGATCAAAACATAAATACACAGAACTAAAATCTAGTGCAGGTGTGAAGAACAGTGTCTACCCTTTGTCATTCTACCTGCTCTTCTCTCTGCCTTTTGTCAGGGAACAGACCATCTCTTTGGATGCACTTAGGTTTCTTTTATTTATTTGTTTGCTTACTTATTTTTCTTTTTTAGAGTCATTCAGAGTCTTGCTATGTTACTTGGGCTTGTCTCAAATTCCTGGGCACACTTAGGTTTCTTAACCATAACCACTCCACTCCAAGGACAGCATAACCATGCCAGTAATACACTAATGAAAAAATGCAATGGAGTGGCTTGAGACTATGAACTGTTTCCAGGTCATTGCATAATAGCAGATAACTCAGGAAGAGTAGGTGCTAGGCCCATACCACTTCTTTGCCCATAAACCTTACTCATCCTTGAAGATGGTCTATCTCTGATTATTTTTTAGCAGAACACAAAATGTTCTGGAAGAATAGTGTTAGCTTAGAACACTGGTTTCACTAAAATTCATCAAGGCAAAAACCAAAAAATCTTACGGCACAGAAAACTGAGAAGGCAGCTCTTGCGGAGGCAGCTAATATGAGGCTGCTCCGTTCTGTTGAGAATTCTGCCTCAAGATCAAATCCACAAACCCTGGCATCTCTATTGGAGATGTAGCAAAAAAGCTGGGTGAGACATGGAGTAACTTAAGTGACAGTGAAGACCAGCTTACATCACTAAGGTGGCAAAGCTGAAGGAGAAGTGTGAGAAGGATGTTTCTGACTGTAGGTCCAAAGGCAAGTTCGATGGTGCAGAGGGTCCTGCTAAAGTTGCCTAGAAAAAGGTGGAAGACGAAGGCAAAGACAATGAGGATGAAGAAGAGGGGAAAGAGGATGAATAAACTGTTTATCTGTCTCCCTACGAATATCTTAGAGTAGGGGAGTGCTGTAATTGACACATCTCTTATTTCAGAAGTGTCTGTTGCCCTCATTAATTACAAAATTTTATCACAACCATATTGTAGTCTCTTGAAATGATCTAGAAATTATCAGTGGTTTACGTGAAGTGGCCATGGGTGTCTGGAGCACCCTGAAACTATGTCAAAGTTGTACATATGTCCAAATGTTTTTTAAATGAAAAGACATTCTGGAGTTCTCACTGTGTGCCCTTTGCTGTTGGTGTGACAAGGCATTTAAAGATGTTTCTGGCATTTTATTTTCTAATTTGTAACATGGTATTAACTATGTGATTATTGGCTGGAAATCCTGAGTTATCAACTGTATATGTCTATAGTTTGTAAAAAGAGCAAAACAACCTAGACAAACTTTTGATGCTCCTTACTTGGCATTGAGGCTATGGGGGGAAAATGCCTTTTGGAAGGGTGGTAGCTCAGGGCGTGCACTATGAGGCTGGACCTGTTGACTCTGCAGTGGGCATCCATTTAGCTTCAGGTTGTCTTATTTCCCATATAGTGACAAATACAGAATTCTGCTGCTATTGTTAGCTGTGGGCAAAGTGGGGTCAGCTGGCATGAGAAGTGTTTTTTTTTAATTTGTTTGTTGTTTTTCATTTAAGTGCAATTGTTTTTAAACTGTTTATTTTAAAACAAACCATAGAACTCTTCATTGTCAGCAAAGTGAAGAGCCACTGAATCAATGAAAATTCAAGAACCTTTTGTACTTAAATACGATTTTCAACATTCTGCTTTCTTTTTGTATGTTTAGAATGCTGAAATGTTTTTGAAGTTAAATAAACAGTATTACATTTAAAAAAGAAAAAGAAGACTGAGAGCAATGACTAATTTATTGCCAAAATCTGGAGTGAGTTTCCACTAAGAGTCAAGATGGTGGACTTGGTTTAAGAAGACAATGAAGCTTCTACATGATGCAGTGGAGGCTAAGAAAAAGGTGTGGAAGTCTCCTTCCACAATTGATATTCTGATTGCATCTCTTTGTTTGTGTCAAGTTGCTGAATGCCAAATGTAAGTATGCATTGGTGGAAAAATATATTCTCAAATGTTTAAAACTTAAAAAAAACTTATATTACAACGATTGCTTCATATAATGCAAGAGATGCCTCAAAACCAGTGGCCTACTGTCACCTACATGTTGATATCTGAAACATTGAACTTGGCCTTTAAATCCCAACACAACCTAGTTTCAACTTAAGCTGTAGTTAAATGTACTATAGACATTTTGAAGCTTATTGCTTTAGACAGCAGATGTGTAAAGTTTGACTACTGAAGTATATTGCCTATGTAGATCTAGTGGTCAAGACGTGAGACAGTGGCTCCGGGGAGATGGGTGTGTGTTTCAGGTGGCATTCCTATACAGGAACCAAGAACAGCACATTTCTCATAGCAGTAATTCTCCAGAGGGAGAAAATAATGAGATTATGAAAAGCCTCCTTGACAGTGTCTTTCTAGTATCTTGCCTCTTCAATTTTTTTCAGAGTCTGCCAAAGAGAGTATGATTTTGAGATGAGTTTCCCAAGGCTGAAATTGAAAGTGATTTAAGGATAGGCAGTTTGTGGTGTCTGTGGAAGGATGTATTTAGCAAAACTCTGAGACCTTAATCTTAGTGAATTAATTTATCATGTTTGAAGCTGTGGTATCCAGGCAAGGGAGATGAAGTTAAATATTTTTATTCAATGGGAAAAATGTATTTCTAAAAAGCAGCATATAATTGCACAGAAGCAAGTGGTCCTTAAAAAACAGATATGTAGGTTAAGTTTGCTCCTTGCTGTTTTACACTATTAATTAAGTAATGTGGGTTTCAGTGAGGATTATTTTTGGCCATTTTTAACAACAGCAACAAAACCCAAAAGCCCAAAAAACAAACAACAGAGATTTCGACAAGGTGGAGGTTTCTTTCTTCTTTCCTCATGAATAAGCCCTGAGATAGGCTGCCCAAGGCTGGTGCAGGGTTTCCATGCTTGGGTGCAGGCTCCTTTCTGGTTCCGCCTTGTCTTGAAAGGCTCTTTGCACTCCAGCCATCACATTCAAATTGCAGGACCAGGAAGGAGCCCAGAGATGCATGTCTCCCTTTCTCTTGTTAAAGACGTTTAGGAAGATTTTTAAAAGACTCGGAAAGTGCCGTTTAATACTTCACACTTACATTTCATTGGCCATACCTGAGTCATATAGCCATCACTACTTGCAGGGAATCTGAGAAACATGTCCAGCTAAAAACTGGGGTTAGTTTCAAAGGTAGAATATAGGCCACATTTTGCTTTGAAACGTAGATAATGAGGAGGTAAATTTTAACTTCAAGTTATTCTAAATGGCAAAAACCAGAAGAATCTTTTAGACAAGTAATCAGAAATTGTCTTTTTCTACCTCACTCTTACATACTCAAGCCAGGCATACTACGTAATTTTGGCATTTGGATTAAATTATTAGTTTAATTAATTAATTAAAAGCTATGAGTATCTACCATGGGCCAGGCAACATCTTAGGTGTCACAGACAATTAGCTGAATAGGGGGCTGCCTGTGCCCTCAGGGAGTTCACAGTCCAATAGGGAAGATCGACACATAAATATATTCAGTAATTAGAATACAATATAGTCACAAAACAATTTACCCAACAAGGAAAAATTTACATATTGATTTTCTAGGCTCCTACTTGCACTTTTATTTTATTTTAATACTTTAAGTTCTGGGATACATGTGCAGAATGTGCAGGTTTGTTACATAGGTTACAGGTGCCATGGTGGTTTGCTGCACCCGTCAACCCATCATCTAGGTTTTAAGCCCCACACGCACTAGGTATTTGTCCTAATGCTATTCCTCCCCTAGCCCTCCTCCCCACGACAGGCCCTGGTGTGTGATGTTCCCCTCCCTGTGTCATGTATTCTCATTGTTCAACTCCCACTTATGAGTGAGAACATGTAGTGTTTGGTTTTCTGTTCCTGTGTTAGTTTGCTGAGAATAGTGGTTTCCAG